ATTATTAATTGCTTAATTAAGTGTAATTTTAAAGCATACTTTAAGGAGCCTATTAAATATTAACAAGACCCCTCACAGTTTTGCGGATTTTTTGCATTCTAACCCCGCACACACAGTCATAACCAATAAATAGCCAATAAAAAATATTAATTACTAATTAACACCATAAATTCTCTCCTACCCCTATCTCTCTCTTTCTTTCTCCCTCGGCATCTAATTCCTCATTATTTTTCTCCCACAACCAATAACCGTAAACGATAATATAAAGTCAATTAAAATTATTAAGAATTAAACAATGGAAACCTGGTGGGCGGGGATATATAACACCAGCCACCACACTTCTCTTGTCCATTCATGCTACGAATGCCAGAATTTTGAAATAGAATTGTGAGCAACAATAAATGACAAAACTTTCTTGTTAAACATTTAGACGCCAATAAGAAAACATTCCACTATCAAAGAAACACTTACTTAGGGCAAACATTCCGCCATACTTTCACCCACTCACTCACACACACATACATTAGAAAGAGCTTAGCAGTTGGCGTCAATAATAACGGAACATTAACGGCGTCAGTGACCGCATCAACAGCATCCTTGTTGCGCCGCTCATTGACAAATAATGGCGTCGTCGTCGTCTTTATTGCATTCCACTAACACAGTGATGATGCTGCTGCTGTGTAAGTGGGAGTTGTGTGTAGGCAGGGTTGCCAATTTGGTTTAATTTTTAAGAGACCAAATGGAGATGATCGTCTTTGTTAAAAAGCCAGTAACTCTTCATCTTGATTGATTGAAAAAATGGTCGTTTAAAAAAAATTCTGGCAACCCTGTGCAAGCCAGTGCATGCAATGTGTTAAAATGTTCGCATTACAAAGATGAAATTCTTCTTGTCTTAATTAGTAGTGACCCCGTTTATGCACTCACACTGCTCTTTGGCTCTCACTCCCTGCCTATATCTCTCTCCTTTGCCTTTTATCTCTAACTCAGTGACAAATCATGTACACAAAGTCATTAATGATGGGCGCTAGATGACTATTCATATATTTACCCAGAAGTAGTAACACATTTGACAAGGGGGAGGTATGACAATTAAGGGAAAATTTTGAAAAAATTTTTTTTTTTTAGATTTTTTTTAAATTAAGATTATAAGTTAAAGCGGAAAAATATATATACCAAAAATATTTTTTTAGAAAATTCTCCCATTCTTCTTCTCTCCCACCCCTCATTATTTTCGATGACTATGTGACCTGCAGCGAACTTGTGTTAACATATTTGTTAAATTAACATTTTTTTATACCCATTGTTTCCCCGGTTTTTGTGTTTCCCTGCTCTCTAGGTTATGCTGTTAATAAATCTTTATGGCTAATGGCTAACCAATGGCATCTCTATACAATAATGCGTTAATGAAATAATCCTGTTAGGAATTCTAATAAAGATTATTATGCATAATGGTACAGTGGAACATAAAAATGTCATGTGGAGGAAGTGTTTAAAGTACTCATTTCATGACCTTAGATGGCCCATTGAGGGGTAAATTGGGGACAAATTTTTGGGGATACCAAAATTATATTTTTTTTATATAAAAATATTTTTAATGGACCATAACTCATAAATCTAAACGGATTTTATTTTAGATTTCGATTAATTCCTACACTAGTGACCCTTAGCATTAAAATGATAAACATTTTAATGACATAGCTGGCAAATTAACAAAGTTATGGTCGAAAGAAAACAAATACCCAAAATGTCTATAATTTGGGTATTATTAGTTAAAGGATTTTCAGAACCCCATAACATTTAAATTGTTGAAGATAACTTTTCAAAATAAAATTTACTTTCAAAACAGAGAATCTTATCTATAAAATGAAATACATTTTAACAATATAGCTAATCAAATATCAAAGTTATGACCAAAAAAATAAACATTTTGGGTATTTTTGTGTTTTTATTTATAAAAGGCAATATATTTAAAAATATTTAAGATATTTTCATAAATCAAATTTCTTTTGAAAAAAGAGAGGATTACCTTTAAAATGGTATAAGTTTCCTTGATTCGCTGCTCAACTACCAAAGTTATGGCCAAAAGAACACAAATACCCAAAATATTTATTTTTTGGGAATTTTTGGGTAATTGATTTCAAAGACCATAACATTTAAATTATTTGAGATATTTGTACCAAATAAAATTTGTATCAAAAATAAAGACTCTTATCTTCAAAATTATATAAATTTTATTAAAAAGGCTGACCAAATACCAAAGTTATGAGCAAAAGAACGCAAATACCCAAAATATTTATTGTTTGGGCAGTTTTGTGTTTTTATATATAAAAGCCAATATAATTGAAAAAAATATAAATTGAATATCTATTGAAAATAGAGACTCTTATCTGTAAAATGATATAAGTTTCCTTGATTTTGCTATTCAACTACCAAAGTTATGGCCAAAAAACCTCAAATACCCAAAATATTTATTTTTTGGGGATTTTTGTGTAACTGATTTCAGAAGACCATAACATTGAAATTATTTGAGATATTTGTCCTAAAAAAAAATTTATTTCGAAATTAGAGACTCTTATCTTCAAAATTTTATGAAATTCTATTAATAAAAATGACCAAATACCAATGTTATGACCAAAAGAACCAAAATACCCAAAATGTTTATTTCTGGGGATTTTTTGGGTAACTGATTTCAAAAGACCATAATATTGAAATTATTTGAGATATTTGCAATAAATAAAATTTATTTTGAAAATTTAGACTCTTATCTTTAAAATGATATAAGTTTCAATAATATTGCTGCCCAATTACAAAAATTATGGTCGTAAGAACACAAATACCCAAAATGTGTATTTTTTGGGGATTTTTGGGTAACTGTCTTCTGGAAGCCATAACTTCAAAATTATTTGAGATATTTTTGTGAATTAAATTTCCCTGAAAAAATAGACACTCTTATCTTAAATATGATATACGTTCCATTAAATTTTCCTAACAAAATGTCAAAGTTATGGCCAAAAGTACACAAATACCCAAAATATCATATTGACAATTTTTTTTTTTGGTAAACATTTTTATGTGGCCATATCTTTGATAGTTCTTGGAATATTTTTATGATATTAAATTTCTTTTGAAAAAAAGAATTTTGTCTTTCAAAACAAGGATCAACTTTTTGTGATATATGATTAATTTGTTAAAGAATATGTTCCCAATGGCTAAAGGCTCTAAAGTTCATGATATATGATTTTTTATTATTTTTGACATATTTGACTTTAAGCTGTTAGATTAAATTTCATATTGAAATGAAAACGCCAACATGCTTATTTTTGTTATGTTAAAATGAGACACCTCCTAAATCTCCTAAAAAATAATTTTTTTTTGCTTAGCCTCGAGGCTCATCTTGCAATTGAATTTATGACACTTTTCAATTAAATAAGTACTTTATATTTTTTATTATTAAATACATGTATTCGTCTGAAGGCTTAAAAGCTTTTCCGTAAATTAAACATAAAGTTTATTTGCTTTGGGCGGATTTTTCTTTCGCTTTTTTCCAAAAAAATTTTAAGTTGAGCCTTAATGGATGGGCTTAATGGTAAGATAATCAACATATCTTAGAGGCAGAACCCCCCTAATATATTTTGTTTGGTTTAAAAGGAAGTTGATCTCTGTTTCCCCCTAACAACGGATAATTTTTTTCTTTTCCTTAGTCACCATTAAAATAAATAAAAAATTAAAATATATATTTAAATATTTGTGGTTATGTTCATTTCCATGCTCCTGTGAACTTCTTTGGCTTCTATTCCTGCTGTGCAATTACCTTTTATTGAAGTTGAAGTTCATGATTTTTTTTATTTTTTATTTACCAATGACTTCTCTTTTATCACCTGGTTAAGGCCTTCGCCTTTACAAGGTATGCACACATAGTAGGAGTGGTATGGGAATGCAGAGCATGTGTTCGGTACTTCAATAAAGTACTGCATACTTTGAGGGGGTCTTTTCACACGCAAGCACACACACACATGTGAGAGTGCTGTTTTTTTTTCAGACGAGACTTCTCGATTGCGGTATGGTATGATATTGCACTAAAAAGGGGAGATATGTTTTTATTCCAAACGTAAACAGTAAAGGACAAAAGTTGTCGGCACGAAAAAAAAACAATTTTTTAAGTATATTTTCAGGAGGAAAATTAAGAATATTTTCAGGAGGTTAATGAAGGCCAAAGGCATGGATTTTTAAAGAATATTTTCAGGAGGTTAATTAAGGCTAGAGGCGTGGATTTTTAAAGAATATTTACAGGAGGTTTATGAAGGCTACAGGCGTGGATTTTTTAAGCTTATTTTCAGGAGGAAAATTAAGGCCAAATGCGTAAATTTTTAAAGAATATTTTCAGGAGGAAAATTAAGCCCAAAAGCGTAAATTTTTAAAGAATATTTTCAAGGGGATTTTTGTGGATTTTTAAAGAATATTTTCAGGAGGATTTTTAAAGAATATTTTCAGGGGTATAATTAAGACTCGAGTCGTGGTTTTTAAAGGCTACAGGCGTAAATTTTTAAAGTAAATTTTCTCAGAAAAGTAGAGGGTCCAGAAGCGTGGAATTTTAAAGTAAATATTCTCAGAATAGTAGAGGTCCAGAAGCGTGGATTTTTAAAGTAAATTTTTTTAGCAAATAAAAAATTTTGAAAATTAATTTTTTTAGCAAATAAAAAATTTTGAAAATTAATTTTTTAGCAAATAAAAAATTTTGAAAAAATTATTTTTTTTAGTAAATCAAAAAATTTTAAAAATAAACTTTTCTTAGGAAAATTTGTATTCAAAATTTTTCGATTTTCCCTTCAATTTTCTCATTTTATTTGTTGCTGTATGTAAACTTTTCCACACCATTGTAATCATTTTTTGTTTTTGTTGTTGTTTTTGTATCCTTTCTACTACATATGGTTACTGTTCATAATTTCGTTATAATTTTTTGTTGTTGTTGTCACTCTTACAGTTACAGTATATTTGCTTACTTTGCTCTCAATGCCAATTGTCTATCGCTGGGACAGACAAATCTGTTTCCGCTGCCGCCATTATTAAGGCTTCGAAAATCCATGGCCAAATGCAGCCAGCCAGCCAGTCAGTCAGCAGCCACTCGAAAAAAAATAAAACTCTCACACACACACTCACAAAGTTTAGTTATCAAAATAATAATGAAGATAATATTTTCGTTTTGGTTATTTTTGGAATTTAATTATTTGTTATTTATTTTTATGGTTTAATAATTAATAACTGTTGATTTATGATAAAACGTACGTATGTATGTGTTTTAGTTATAAAACTCCACTTCCTCTTTTCTTTATTTATAACATATTTCCATTAAGACGAAGAAAAAAATTGTAGCATATTTTTAGGATGTAAAGGAATTTGGGAATTTCAAAAACATTTTTAACATCGGAATTTTGGAAATGATTTAAATTATTATTATTTTCTTTTATTTAAAAATGAATATTTTTTTATATTTTTCACAATTTTTTTGAAATGTCCCTGTCGTATGCGCATCAGAGTTTAATATGTTACGCCCTGTTTAATGGTTGAATGCAGACTGAATATTGAAAATCGCAATATTCTGCCTGTTGCTTGGTTGTCCATTTAACATGGAGCAAAAAAATACAACAACAACAAAAATGCCGAGCCGAAAGCAAAGCCAACTGTTTTAACGTCAACTAACTAAGATATAACTTTTCAGGCTATCTCTCACCACCCCTCGCTCTCTCACACAAACACACACAGACCCAATTGTCAATGGGGCTTTTCTTGTTGCCTTATTTTGTTTGGGGTAAGAGCCGTTATGTGTGATTCATACAATTGTGTTTTGTTTTGTCACTCTCTCAAAGGCTCGCTCTCTCTCTCTGTTCATCACTCTCCGTTATTTTATAATATATGCTCTGTTATATTATGTAGCCTTATTGCCTGTACGTGTGTTTGTGTTTGCTAACAACAATTCTTCTTCCTTAACAACAACAAAAACAACAGCAAAAAACATGTGGCAAAACTCCAAAATAGAAAAGCCCCAACTGTAAAACTGCGTGACATTCCAGACATTCATTTGTGTGATGTTCTGCTATTTGTTTTTTGTTGTTGTTGTGTTATGCTTCGATGTATTTCCTTTTTTTCTTTTTGTCAGAGATGGAGCCATACAGTGGTTTCATAATGAAATAAAAATGGTGATTTAAAGAAAAAAATTAATTTTTAACGAATATTTTATTATTAAAATAAAATAATATTTTAATAAACAATATTAAGTCAGCAAGTACATATTTGAATAATGGTAAAATTAGAAACAGAGTGAATTTTGACGAATATATTTTAAGGAGGACGATTAGCACATAAAGCTTGGAATTTTAAAGAATATTTTTAGGGGGATAATCAGACCCAAGAAGCGTGATTTTTTTTATAATATTTTTAGAAAGATAATTAGGCCAAGAAGCGAGGATATGTAAAGAATGTAAGCCGGAGGGCAATTAAGAGTAGAAACATGGATTTTTAAAGTATTTTTTAGAAGGATTGTTGGGCCCAAGAAGAGTTACATTTTAAAGAATATTTTTAGGAGGAATATTAAGACTAGATACATAGATTTATAAAGTATATTTTTAGAAGGAGAATTTTATCAAGGAAGAGTGGGTTTTTTAGAGAATATTTTTAGGAGGAATATTAAGGTTAGAATCATGAATTTTTGAAGGATATTTTTACGAGGATAAATAGGCTCAAAAGAAATAATTTTTTAAGAGGAAAAAACTTGATATTAAAAAAATATTTTTAGAAGTGAAATTAAAGCTGGAAACGTGGTTTTCTAAAGAATACTTTTAGGAGGACAATTTGGCCCAGGAAATGTGAATTCTTAAAAAATATTTTCAGGAGGATAATACATGGATTTTAAAGCATTTTTTAGAAGGAGAATTGTGCCCAAGAGAAATAGACTTTAAATAGGAAAATTAGACTGAAGAAGTGGTGATTTTTAAAGAATATTTTTAAGAGTATAATTTAGTATAATTTAGAAGCATTGATTTTAAAGAATACTTTTAGGAGGTCAATTAAACTCACAATTTTTGATTTTTTTAAAGAATATTTTCAGGAGGATAATGAAGACTAGAAGCATGTTTTTTAAAGCATTTTTTAGAAGGAGAATTGGGGCCCTAGCGGAATCAACTTTAAAGAGAGATTTAGACTTAAGAGAATTAGACTCAAGAAGCGACGATTTTTAAATAATATTTTTAGGAGTATAATTTAAGCTAAAATCATGGATATATAAAGAATACTTTTAGGAGGCCACTATTACACCCACTGTTTTGTGTAAATATGTATGTATTAGATATTTGTTACATACATATGTATGTATTTCTCATATTCCCCCACGTGCGTCGAACAATGTTTTCCTGCTTAAAATTTTGCTCGAGTACGGCCAAAGGTGGTGGCTGGAGGCATGGGTTCATTTGGGCAGTGCGAGGATATTTTTTTTCCTTATTTTTCGTTTCTGCTTACTCAATATTTTTTCTTATTGTTGTTGTTTGATTGTTATGCCTTGGTTCCTTTTCATATGCCGGATTCGGAATTTGTAAGTGTCTACGAGTTTCTTATGAAAATCTACTCTTCGTTTCTGCTCTTATGTGTCTAGTGCAATTCTTTTTGTTGTTGTTGGGGGTAGGAGTGGAGGTTAGCCAATAATTTTTACTGCGAAACGTTTCGGTATTTTGTTATGTTTTATGGTTTATGCATATTAACTATGTTTGTGTTGATCCATCCCCCAATGTCTGGTGGAATATGTATGGGGCGGTAAAAGTTAAACATAACAATTTATACTGGGAAGCATGGGCTTGACATTATTGCCATTGCATATTTGCGAAATGATAACAAATGCATAGCATACTTTTAGGGTGACATTAATTAGGACACAAACAATTCGTTAAAAAAAATCTTAATTAAAAAACTTTGGAAAGGACACCACAAATATTTAGGGGACAAATTGGGAATTTAATAGGAAGTTTAAAATATTTATTTTTAAGTTTATCCACGCTTCTTGGGCCTTCAATATGGCCCTGCAAATAAAACTCAAAAATACATTTTTTTTGAAAATTTGTAAATTATTTATTTACTTACAAAAGAACAACTCATTAAAAAATATCTTAATAACTAGCAAGGCAAACACCTCTCCCCCTCCCTTTACTCCTCCTGCAAACGCAAACGATGTTGCGTTAAAAATGCCACATCAAATATGGCCTCCTGCTGCAACAGCTCATGCACCTCATATTTCATCGATTCCTCATAGGCATACTGAATACTCGTATCGTACAGCATCATTTTACAGTGGGCCAAAGCCAAAATGCAATTCCTTAGGCGGGCAATAACTTCACGATCTCCTCGTGGTATAATTTCCGATAGATTTTGGGAAAAACCACCATCACCACCCTCACCATCTGACCGTGAGGACGGCGATATCCATATGAAACCATTATTACCCAAAATAATACTCGCGCCACAGGGTAAATTATGGAAATGGGTCTTACGACGTTTTACCAGCGATGGGAATACCTTGACCAAAACCCCCTGTGACAATTTACCATATTTCAAGGAACGGGTGTACAACGACAGTGTACCCTCATCGTATATATTTTGCACCTCCGCAGAGATGAGATCACCTTCTTGCAAATATTTACGCATAGCTTGTTCATCTTCGGCCTGACGTCTTCTCAATTCACCTCCCGGTAAATTGACTGAGGAAAGCAGCAAAATTGAATCCAATCGGGAATTTGTATCGACTTTCCAGCGCTTTTGTTGCACCTCGGTGATTCGTGCCACAACCACATCACCGATTTCACCAACATAACGACTTTTTAACGGTTTAATGGATACCAATTTGTTGACCTGTTCCATAACACCAGCCACGGAGGCTTTAATATCATCTCCCTCGACATAGGTTCCATGGCCTTTCATGAAGCCTTGTTGCGCTGTCACCACTTCACCGGGTGTATACAATCGGGGGGCATTGGCTTGATTTTGGGCCAATAGGCCCATGTTGACACGGTCCAGGGCCAGTCGTATATTTACATTTGTTGTCATTTTTTAAGAAATATTTTAATAATTAATTCGGAATGAAAAACAGGCGAAAAAAATGTAAACAAAAACACGCTTTCCAATAATGCCGCTGAAATGACAGAAGTTACTCTCTCTCACGGCTCTCATACAATGTAGAGTTGCCATCGTGAGATAAGAAATCAGCTGTTGCTAAAGCAAATTGCCGGCGTATGACGTATGGCGGAGTAACAAAACTCTAACAAAAAAAAACACAATAATTATTACGTCCACTAACTTAGATATTTAAGGAATATTTTCTCAACACATATTAATCCGATAATAACCTGCAATAAGTCCTTATATACCGGTTGTTTAATATATTGGCACCCTCCGCTTTAACTCTGCATATTCATGATTTCGCATAGAAATGCTAAAATCATGAGTAATTTCACTGCATTTTGTTCACCTGTTGTTGGGATATCATTTCATTGTGAATGCTTTAGTGATTACCGTTAAGAAGAAGTAAGTATATTCATTTTCTTCTATTTCCTTTTGTGACAGTGTACAAACAAAACAGCTGTTATTGTTCTCTTATCGCATGATATCAATTTAATGAGAATTATTAAGTACACTACTGATAAGAAGAAGAAGACAACAATTGTTTGCAATATCTTTATAGTTTTATATTTAAAATTTCGCATAGAAATGCTAAAATCATGAGTAATTTCAATTTTGATTTCGATGGAAACACAGATGAGGATTTCTTTGGTACTCTCAAAGGGTAAGTGGGCTATAAAATTGTCTTTTTATTATCTCAAATTCACCCATTTCTCTCCTTATAGTGGTGATAACAAATCCTCCAAATTACAACAGCTATTTGTTGATGATGATAGTCCCGATGAAAGTCAACAATCTTTGAAATACAAACGACCCAAAGCCAAAGATTTGAAGCCAGCAAACCCAGAGCCAAGTGGTAGTGGTAATACTGCCAAATCAAGCCAACAGTTGGCACCTCCATTACTGGCTAAAGTTGTAACAACCTATAGGCAAGGGGAATTATTGGGTAAAGTGGGTTTGGCATTGACAAAAAATCTTGATAATGACGACTACAGCCTTATTCTATATAAATCGAAAAGCTTGGTGCTGGTCACTCTGGCTTTGATGCGCCACAAGCAGTTGCTGTTTAAACAACAAAACTATTGGCAATTTTATGATACGGATCAGCAATATTGGAGTTTTAGTTTTGATAAGGTGTCCGATGAGGAGGAATTTCAGGATAAATTAATGCATTGTGGCCATGTAATTAAGGAAAGTAAGGAGGACACGAAATTGGAAGAGAAAACTGAGAAAAAAGAAATTTCATTGGAGGAAGTTGGTCATACCCCATTGCCGGAGGTAATAGACAAACCAAAACCCGTGGATTCTAAAAATTCCTTAATACAACGTATGGCCAAAATGGGACAACCTTTACCCAAATTAGCCTCCAATAATTTACAGACCACCACTGAATTCAGAGATTCCTCGGACTCAGCGGAGGTTATTAAAATGCCATTGCCCGCCAAACCCAGTATTGTACCAAGAAATAAAATAGCAACTCTAAAGAATAATAATAACAACAACAATAATCAACAACAAATTATTAGCTCAACATTGGCCTTTAATCCTATGCCCTCCTATTCGGGAAATCTCATGGAATCCCAGTATATGCAAATGTTGTTAAGCGAACAAAGGACCCAGGGTTCGGAACTGCGTATGAATGTCAATAAACTGGAAAATAAAATTGAAAAGGTTTTGGATAAATTGGATTTAATGGAAAGATCATCATCATTTGGTGGGGCAGAAGGCAAAGAGAAACGCCACCGGGATGACGAAATATTGGAATTGGAGGAAAAATTACTGAATTTGAAAAAAGAAAATCGAAAATTAAAACAATTATTGGAATCGAGAAATGAAGAGAAAGATAATTTTGAGGAGAAAGCTAAGGCAATAATAAAGGAATGCAAAGAGGATTTAGAGGAGTTACAGCTGGACCATTTAAAAGATTTGAAAGTGATTTTGAAATCTTCCCTAGAACAAAATAGGAAACAGCTAGATAAAATTTCGATACTAGAAAATAAATTAAAGGTAAAGGAAAAAAATGAAATGGAATCCCAGACAGAATTAGAAAATTTACAAATCAAAAATGATAAACTAACAAAAGATTTAAATGATGAACAAGATAAAAGAAAATCCCTAGAAGAAGGGAAACAAAAAATGATAGTGGATTATGAAAAACAAATCCATGATTTAAAACAACAATTAGCTGATAAGACAAAGGAGAATGATAAGATGGCGGAAAATAACAATGTATTGGATGCCAAGGTGAAAGAAATTATGAATGGTTTGTATGCTGACATTTATGAAAAATTGGAAAACAATAATTTGGAAAATATGGACAAAATTTTAGCCATTGTGGCCAGCTCAATAAAACAACAAACTTTGAAAAATTTACAAAAATAAAAACAAAAAATCTGGGTATTTTCTTTCTTTAAGACAAAAAAGTATTTTTTTCAAAACCTATAAACAATTTGAAAAATAAAAAAAATTGGAATTTTTTTAAAGGAAAACATTTGTTCAGCCTAATAAAAATTACAAAAACAATTACAGAGGTTTTTAATGAAAAACTATTTTTTTTTTTTTAATTTTTAAAAAATTAAAATTTAATTTTTAAATTTAACAAAATAACAAATTCTTTAAAATGAAAAAGTATTTTTTTAAACCCCCAAAATTTTTTTCGCAAAATCAACCCCTTTTCTTTAAATCAAAAAAATATTTTTTGGTTTTTTTTCTTTTTTTTATTTAATTATTCACACTACAAATACACATAATCTTATGTACATGATTATACATAGATGACTGTATATATATTTTTTTATAATTATCTTTTATTTAATTTTTAATTGTACATTACAAAATCAAGGATTTTAAATCAAATAAAAAAATATTATTTTTTCGTTTTCCTTTTTATATGGAAATTGTTGTACATATTTTTTCAAAATTTATTAACTTTTATAATAAATTATTGCTATATTATTAGGTGGTTTAAAAAATAATTAACTTAGACGGTGGTTATATCCCAAAAAAAACTATATTTATCAAATAGAGACTTGAAATAACAGTCTTATAAAAATGCTAATTAATTATTTTTTATTTATTATATAGATTCTATATTTCTTGTATATATATATATAAAGTAGGTAGGTGGTTTAGATCTCATAAGGAGATCAAGAGAATTTTTTTGTAATAAATCAGAAATCAAAAAATTTATTCAATTGAAAACAAATTACCGAAATTTTTTGAATCTATTTTTTTCCATTGAAAAAAATATTCAATGAACTTTTTTAAACAAAAAAAAAAAAATTTTTTTTTCATTCCATTAACAAAAAATCCCAATATTTATTTCATTGAAAAAAATTTACCAAATTTTTTTCCATTGAAAACAAAATATTTTTTGCATTAAAAAAAAAAAACAATTAAAAATTTGAAAATTTTTTCTTAAAAAAATTACTAAATTTTTTCAATTGAAACATGTTGCTAATTTTTTTCAATAAAAAAATTATTGTTATTATTCCATTAAAAAAACAGTTCACTGAATTTTATTTCCATTGACAAAAATTTACCGATAAAAAAAATTAAGAATTTTTTCAATTGAAAAAGTCCATCATTTTTTCATTGAAAATGTTCTCTCATGCTAAAAAATGTTCCCTCATTTTTTTCCATATTTTTCTCAATTTTAGATTTTTGGCCATTTTTCTAAACTAAAATTATTTTACAAGATTTTCAAATAACATTTTAGTATTTTTTCACATTCAAATTTACAAAAAAAAAAAAAAAATAATAATAAAATAACAAAATAAAATAAACAAAATTCTTAGCCTGCATTACGGCTAATTGTCAATTGTTTTTTTAATTTATAATGATCGTCTGGATTTTTTTCATTATCAATAAATGCTCTATTGTTGTTCTACTTATTTAAAGTCTTCTAAAAGGAAAAGTCTATATATTCACTACATCTTATTTTTTATATTTCTTCTTCTCCGTCTTTTAATCGGAATAAGAATCCTCATCCGAGTCACTAGTTGTATCGGTGGTCTTGTAACGTCTTCGCTTGACTTTGGTTTTCTTACGCCGCATATTCGGCGTTTCGGCCTTGCGCTTATATTTATCCTTCTTCTTCAGTTTACGGCCATTTTCATCCGATTCACTTGTCGAAGATTCTTCATTATCACTTGAATCCGATTCGGTACTACTATCGCTAGACGATGATGATGTCAGGGAGGAGGAAGACTCTGAACTGGAAGAGGTGGAGGTGCTAGAACGTTTCTTGTGTTTCTTACTTTTGCTACTACTGCTGTGTTTCTTTTTGTGTTTTGTATGTTTGTGACCCTTCTTCTTCTTCTTGCTCTTTTTCGATTTTTTCGCTTTGGAAGACGAGGACGATGATGATTTTGCCTTAATTGTGGTTTTCTTTAATATTTCCGCCTCTTTTTCTTTAAGCTCTTTCATGCGCAGCTCTGTCAGCGGCGTTAGATAATCTAATTCGGAATCGGAACTGGTACTTTCAACATCCAAGAGAATCTCTTTATTTGGATCAACCTGCCAAGTAATCAGAAAAAATTAAAACAAATCAATGCATGTCTGTCCGTCTGCCACACAAAACAATGCCTCGCCGTAGCTTACTTACCTTTAGAAAGTTGCGACATTGATATGTCAAATGTCCAGCATAGCCACATTTTTTACATGCCGCCCTTGCTGATTCCTTATTCGGATTGGTTAAAGGAAAGCTCATGACAAAATTTTTGGCGCAAATTAATTACAAATACAGAAATATATATATATTATTTTTAATCCGGCTAATGGCGAAAAGTAATAATGTTGAACAACAAGTTCTTCTTCTTATTAATTTGTTGGGTGATAGGTGAATTGATAGCCGACTACCGTTATGTTGACAGCTGGATCATATGTGTGCAATTGCAAATTAAAGTGGCCCTGTGATATGTCAATGAGATATTTGATTTTCACATTAAGTGTGGTATACACTATAAAACGTACCTGAGAGATGGGGAAAAATATGATTAAAAATAAATAATACTTCTAGAAGAAGATACATTGATATGTAAAGCATCAGGGGCAACCAAAATAATAATTTTTCATAGTATGGATATAAATGTAAAGAATAAAAGATACATATTTCTAGTTTAAGTGAACAAACCTTATACACATTTTTTTTAAATTTAATTTTTTAATAAATTTAAAATTGTTAATAAAAACAAGCTTTTCTTGATGATTTTTAATTATGAATTAATTACTAAGCAATAAAAATTTTAATAATATTTAAAAATAGTTTTATTTAATAATAATTGCTAAAAAGAATTATTTTTATTTAAACAACGTTTCTAATTGATGTACATGTCTGTTTAAACCCTGTTTGGGCATGTCACTGTCTCTCTCTCTCCCTCATGCATGCACACACAAAGAGAGTACTCACATTAAATGGTTACCAACAATCAGTCCAACCATTACTCACTGAACACACAACACAATGAAGAAGTGTCAAAAATATCAAAAGAAACTCACGAATTAATAAATAAAAAAAGAAATAATTAAAATCGAACGAATCAACAAACAAAGAACGGAAATATATAATTAAGTGAATTTATTGGTATATTAAAAGATTATAACAAAAAATACAAAAGAAAATAGCCAGACAAATGGAAATATTGCAAAGATTTCGGGCGATTTGATAAAAAGAAAATCAGCAGCACCCCATTGACGTTGCCGTCGTTGTTTTTTCTTTTCTTGCTGTCGTCGTCGTTTTAGTTGTTGGTTGATTTTGTTGGTGTCGTCGTATTGGGGATAAGCAGCAGCAAATGAACGAAAAAGAATCACTCATCCAAAATGACACTGAAATTGCTACAACAACAATAAAGTAAATAATACATTTTATAAAAATAACAAATCCAAAAAAAAAATTGAGATCCCACAACCATAATCGCGTTAAATCAGTCAGTCATCAACGACCACGATCATTATCATCAGTTTACAAGATTTGGGGTTTGTGTGTGTGTGTTTGTTTTTTGGGGCAAAAAAGGCATACCCCCCAAAAAAACCAACGGCAGACATCGGTGGGAAGGAAAATTGTGCCTGCCTTAACTAATCTAAAAAAGGCATTAGAATTGCTGGTGTTGCTGTTATTGTAGTTGGTTGTGTGCACTAAGCTCAATTGTGTGGCAAATAAGGGCGTTTGACCGACCGGATATCAGCAATAATTATTTATGCTGAAAACGTTGTTTGTGGCCAAATTACCACAAACCGAACCGAAAGAAACGGAAGACAACAACATTGATTTGTAGTTGTTGCTGTGCATCGAGACGACGGCGGCGGCCTTATTATGAACTTGGTAATGGATCGCAAACGTAACACCTTTACCAGTTATGTGGCACCTCCGGCAGGTGATGTCTCAGCACTGGGCGATGATGAATGGAACCTACCCGGTGATATGCGTGATGTCCATTTGGCAAAACCCCGTCTACTGACCAATGAACTAGTTGTGGCCTCGGCACCAGCCTATCTATTCCCCTCCATTGCCCCCATAGATTTTAGCGTTGAAGCAGAGGGTGGTGGTGCCAAGGGATCTAAGGAAGCTGTCTTTGGCCTGCTCACTGTTACGAATTTCAAATTGGCCTTTGTCCCGCTGCAACGAGAATCAACCTTGTCCTCCGTGGCCTCTCTGGCCCAGGAACATTTGCTCCTCTCCCGCAATGATATTACCCTCAATAACATCGACCACGTCTACCAGGTGGCGGAGACGGGCAAGGCCGTTAGCGCCCTGCCCGGCAATGTGGGCAGGCGAAAAAAGAAACTTGATGCCCAACAGAAACCGATCAGTGGACGCATTGCTGCCCTACATATTTTGTGTAAAAATTTTCGCCTCCTCAAATTTGCCTTTCAGTATTCCAAAGGTGGCAAGGATTGGGGTAAGCACATCGCTTCCGCCCTGGCCCGATTTGCCTTTCCCACACGGCATGATCTCAGCTTTGCCTATTGCTATAAGGAACCCTACTACTCGACCCTCTCCAAATCATCGGTCAGCATGTATACAACGAAAAATGACTGGGCCCGGGAGCTGATACGTTGCGGCACTTCCAATTGGCAGGTGATAAGTTCCGATTCCGAACCTCTGCTGCAAAATGATCGCCACTCTTCCCGCTATACATTGCCTCCCCATTTTGTCATACCCAAGGCCTGCCAGGTGGAAGCATTTCTCAACTGGACCCTGGCCTATTGTGATTCGAGGGCCGTCTTTTGGGTGTATGGCTATGGAAATGCCTCACTGGTGCGTCTGGCTGAGCTGAAGAACACCCAGCAGGACAACACAACGGAAAATGTAATGTTGGAAGTGGTCCGATCGACCAACGATGAGAAGAAGATACATTTACTGCAGTTAACCGATCGCTTGCCCACAATTTTGGATGTGCACAAGGCCTATGAAAAACTGCGGCGTATTTGTGCCCCCGAAAGTCCTCAACACTTCTCCGTGGAAGACTCGAAGTTTTTGGTACTGCTGGAGAAATCCAATTGGCTGTTCTATGTGTCGTTGTGTCTGCGCTATTCGTGTGAGGCAGCTGAAAATTTGCGTGACGGCATCACCTGTGTTCTGCAGGAGTCGAATGGCCGTGACCTGTGTTGTGTGGTGTCATCGCTAACGCAGATTATTTTGGATCCCTTCTATCGCACCATTGACGGGTTTCAATCGCTCATACAAAAGGAATGGGTTGCCTTGGAACATCCATTCCAGCGGCGTTTGGGTCACATACGTCAACCGGCCGATTCGAATGGACCCCAGGAAGAAAGTCCGGTATTCCTATTGTTTTTAGATAGTGTATGGCAATTGCTGCAACAATATCCCGATGAATTTGAATTCTCCCAAACCTATTTGACCACCCTCTGGGATTCTTGCTTTATGCCCATCTTTGATACCTTCCAGTTTGACTGCAATGCGGATCGCATAAATGCCGTTAAGGAGAGTCGTTTGATATTACGACCGGTGTGGGATTGGTCGGAACAATTTTTGGAAAAGGATAAAATGTTCTTCACCAATCCCTTCTATCAGAAACAAAAAACCGAAGTGCCCTGTCGAAGATCAGTGGCCATACCGGCCGGTGGCATAATGTTGCCCGGTTTGGCCAAGCCTCCCGTGGCTGCTCTACAACGTTCCACCATGATGCCAAACAGTCTGGTGGCACAATCTTCCATACCCAAAGATCGTTTTCTCCAACCGGATCATCAAATGTCGGCGCTGGCCATATGGGAACAATGCTATTACCGGTGGATGCCCATTGTTGAAATAAAACGTGGTGGTTTTCCACAAATCGAATTGCAGCATCGCATGCTGCTAAGTAATGTCTCGAAATTACAAAGATGTTTGGATCTGCAGGATTTTGATGATCTACCGGATATCTACTATGAACTGAGTAAGGAAAAGAAACCGATTGTGACACAACATCAGGCTAGCGCTGTGGTGCCCATATCCCCTGAGATAATCGATGGCGTTGAACGTCGTCGTCGCATCTCACTGCCCCAGTCCAATTCAGCCGCTGCCCTAACGGCGGAAAGTGTTTCCAGTGTTCTACCCGAGATATCCTCATTCTTTCCGTTTAGTGTTAACACCGGAGAAACGCAACAATTACACGACATCCTATCGAGTAGTCATGAATTTTTATTGGAAGGTTCCATAATGGATCGGTTGTCAATTGCTTAGCCCTAGGCGGCAGCAGGAGCAGCACATCGATTGCGAAGTGGTGAAATGTGAAAAAAATGATCTTGGAGCAGAATTTTTCTTGTTTTCTTTCCTTAACAAAGCAAAGAGGTAAGTTTTAAAGTTCCTCCCGCCTATTTTTTGAGGTCATTGACATTTATTTTCTCCCACTATATTATTTATGGATAACTTAACAGTAGGGACCATTTTAATTATCTATTGGATTTAAGATTGCGCAATAAAGGTGCCAGTCCACGAAGTGCAACAACAACCCGATGAGAGATAAGACACATATCATGTTTTGAAATGAGATAATGGGAGGGGATAATTTATTACTGGAAAATATCTGAGGGTGATAAAAGAAAATATAGATGACAATTTTTTCTAAAGAAAAAAAATTTCCATCAGTGGGATGTTTTCTATAGAAAATATTTGAGTAAAATTTTTTGTATACAAAATTTTTTCTATAGATGAAATTCGGCCAGTGAACATTTTCTATAAAAAATGTGAAATTTTTTCTATAGAAAATGTCCCATCAGTGAAAATTACCTTTAAAGTAAGCATTGGCAACCCTAAACCAGTCCTAATAACGGATAACGGTTTTATGACAGTCGTCAGCTCTCAAAAAGAACTGTTATCCCATCTCTTTCAAATGCCAATAAACTGTTCACGCGGGTTGGTTTTGACACCTCTATAGGCGTCTGGCCACACATCAAATTTTATTCTATAAAATGGATGGAAAATAACCTAAAATAATAACATTTTCATTTCTTTCCATTATTATTGACTACCTGGTAAAAGAAATCAAATTTTAATCTTTAATATGTAATTTTTTTCAATGTCAAACTAATTTTTTTTCTCTCGTTTCAGATCAAATGTTACCTGGTTATTTGTTATAACGAAAAAATCAACAACAACAGCAATTGGTATAAAAATTATACCACTAAATTGCAAACATAATGCATATTTATGATGTCATAAGCCAAAATTATTATTGAAAATAATCTATATGATGCAAAAGAAAAACAAAAACGAACTAATACTACTTTTAACTAAGCTTCAGCGTTAATGTTCATTGGCCTGGTATATAAAATAAGCCTGGCAAGATTAAAACAAAAAATCAAAACAAATATTAAATGCCTAAATTTCACTTCCTACAAAATTGTAGGGAGCCATACAATTTCAAGTATTACTAAAAACATTTTATACAAAAATATATTCAATTATTTAAAAAAATTAGGCTTTTTCTATTCCTCACAAATAAGATGGTTTTTGAAAAAATCAAAAACTTTTCCAAAAATATACATATATTTTTATACAAAACAAAAAATTATTCAAATAAAAGAAAATATAAAAAATAATATCGAAAAAATACAAGTTCGAAACAGGCCCTTTATTATCAATTCTTTTCCTTTCTCCTTTTTAATGCATATTATAATAATAATTTGTTAATGTTTTTATTATTATTAAATAAATTAGTTATTTTTTTAAGTTTTTTGAAGTAAAAGAAATCACATACCCAATTTACACACACAAAAACACAATGCGTATTTATTACAATATTATTATTAATATAATTTTTATTCCTTTATTATATACAACACAAACAAAAAAATATTTATAAAATTATATAAAAATTAAAGTATACATAAAATGTATAGTAAAAGACAATTTAAAAAATCTTATAATCGAAATAAAATGTGAATTAAATAAATAAAACAAAATGTGAAATCCAAAAATAAAAAATAGTTTTTAATTCATTTCAAAGTTATTTCTAAACCTAAACCTAAAAAGATAAAATAGAGAGTTTTAAATTATTTGTTCACCACTCTCTCTCCCCTAAAAAAAACTATATTCCTTTATTAAATTCCATAATCTACCAAATATGAAATCTTATCACCATCAATTTCGGACAAATGGGTTGCATGCAATTTATTGCATTGTCTGAATGCCCTTTGTGTGGCTAATTGCCGTTATTTGTCTCTCACATGGTTGGCAACACTTATCACTTGTTTTGACAGCTGAAAACATTCGTTGTACTATTTTGGCGCCAACAAAACTTCAAATCCAATTATTTAAACAACCACAATGGACCGAAAACCCACACGCCAATCCTCCTGCTCCTCTGCCATATTATTGGCAGCCAACCAGGCTTGCATTGCTGCTTCTATGGCGAAAATAATTATCCGCATGGTTAATCCCATAATTCAAATCCATTGCATGGGCATGCTGCAAGTAGACAACTTTGCCGAGGTGGAGCCGAAAATAAGAGAACTATTGGAATATATTGATGCCAGTATTGATGAGGAGCGAGAAGAAAAGAAAACGAGAAAGCAACGAGGCCAGAAGAAACAGAAGTGATTATGGAATGGGAAATCTATTTGGAGTTGTTTGAATGAATGATACATTTTTTGGTTTAATTTTTAAGGTTATGTATGAATAAAAAATATTTTGTAGGTTATGTTTGAAAGAAAAAATAATAAACAAATATGAGTAATAAAATGCATGCTTTTTTAAGGAAATTAATTCCCATCAAAAACAAAGCAGAAAACATGACTCAAATTATAGGTTTTCATGACAGAGCGAATCACGTTCCGAAAGATCTGAGTCTTACTTGGCCAATGTAAGACCTCTATTACAACAACACACGTGAGAATTTAGTATAAAAGACCAAAAGCCATTGTAACAAGATATAAATTACTGAATTGAGCGACCGTAATTTTATTTATTAAACGTTAAAGTATTTATTTTTTATATTGAGATATAAATAAATAAGAAATAAATTATTAAATAGACTACTAATTCCCTTTCCATTTTTTCTTATATTCAATTCATTTTTAATTCAAAATATTCGCAAATATTTAAAGTAGAAAGAAATTTGCTTTGCTGGAGTTCCTTTGGTTCATTTTATTGAATCATAATAGCAACAGCTGATTTCTGCAACACACTTTTGTAAACACAAATACGACAACTCTCAGCCAATCTCTCTTGTCAACCGTAATCCATTAATCTCTCTCTTGCAAAAGGTTCCCTTAGTTCATTTCACTGAACCCCCATATTCAAATTGAACTGGTACGTCACCAAAAAATTTGCAAAGCTAGATTTCTCTCAAGGAAAAAACAATACAGAATCATTAAATATTAAACGAAAATAAGTAAATTGTTGTTGTATTATATTATTGTTTATTTACAATATATGTTGTTGCATTTATTGGTGAGTCAATGCGAAAAAAACGAAGTAAAATAAGGCAATTAAAAATTTGCTTTCTTTATCAGTCAAAAAAATTTTTTTTGATTGACACACCACACACTCCCCCACACACACTTTTGATAACCCCTCTCTCCATCTCATGCTTGTTTTTTTCTGCCCATTCACACAGCAACCCGCACCTGTATGCTATCATCAAGTTCTCCAATAACTTTTGCGGGGAGTAGTAGCAGTGCAATGCAACAACAATCCAATGCTTTTGCAGCCTATGGCGATCATAGGGGTGGCATCCAAACAGGCTTGGACATTGAATATGGCACAGATCCGGCAAGTGGTAGCATATTTAAATATGATGGGCGTAAACATGATGATCTGAAACAAATGTTGGATAGCAACAAAGATGGCTTGAAATTGGAGGCAATGAAAAGGATAATTGGCATGATTGCCCGGGGCCGAGATGCAAGTGATCTGTTTCCGGCCGTTGTGAAAAATGTTGTATCGAAAAATATCGAAGTGAAAAAGCTGGTATATGTGTATTTGGTGAGGTATTGTGAGGATCAACAGGATTTGGCATTGCTGTCGATAAGTACCTTTCAAAGGGCCCTCAAGGATCCAAATCAATTGATAAGGGCATCGGCATTGAGGGTATTGTCCTCGATACGTGTTAGTATGATTGTGCCAATTGTAATGTTGGCCATTAGGGATAGTGCCAGCGATATGAGCCCCTATGTGAGGAAGACGGCCGCCCATGCTATACCGAAATTGTTTTCCGTTGATCCGGAACAGAAAGATGAGTTGGTGACAGTGATTGAGAAATTGCTATCGGATCGTACAACATTGGTGGTGGGTTCGGCTGTTATGGCGTTTGAGGAGGTAAGGAAATGGGGCTACCAATTTTGATTTTTAATTTCAATATGATTTTTTTGTCTGTCTTTAGGTCTGCCCTGAACGTGTTGATTTGATCCACAAAAACTATCGCAAATTGTGTAATCTCCTGGTGGATGTTGACGAATGGGGCCAGGTGATAATTATAAACATGCTGACCCGTTATGCCCGCACCCAATTTGTTGATCCCAATGCCGATGAAGTGTCCGAGGAGGAAAACGCACAAGAAGGCAATGACAAGAAATTCTATGATGATTCTGATTCGCAGTCCAATGATGATAGTGATGATGACGAGGCCAAGAAATCATCAAAAACGAAATCGAAACCTAAAATCAAATCCCCCAATTCATCACCATCATCCAGTTATCATGTGGATTTGGATCATCGTCTGCTGTTGAGACAAACAAAGCCCCTACTGCAGTCACGTAATGCCTCTGTGGTAATGGCGGTGGCCCAACTCTATCATCATGTGGCCCCGCGTCAAGAGGTACAAATTGTGGCCAAATCCTTGATACGTTTGCTGCGTTCCCACAAAGAAGTGCAGAGTGTGGTCCTCACCTGTATTGCATCCATGTCCACGAAGCGTAAGGCGATCTTTGAGCCTCACATCAAATCATTTTTTGTGCGCACAAGTGATCCAACCCACATCAAATTGCTGAAATTGGAAATACTAACGAACTTGGCCTCGGCTGCCAGTATCTCGCTAATATTACGTGAATTCCAAACCTATATATCGAGTAGTGATCGTTCATTTGTGGCCTCTACCATACAGGCAATTGGCCGTTGTGCAGCTTCCATTAAAGAGGTAACCGAAACCTGCCTCAGTGGCTTGGTCCACCTACTCTCCAATCGTGATGAACATGTGGTGGCCGAGAGTGTTATTGTCATCAAGAATCTACTGCAAACCAAGGCTGCCCAACACTATGAGATTATTTCCCAAATGGCTAAGCTATTGGATTTCATTAAGGTACCCGCTGCAAGGTCTTCGATTTTATGGCTCATTGGGGAGTACAATGAAAAGGTGCCCAAAATTGCACCAGATGTTTTGCGTAAACTAGCCAAAACTTTTGTCGATGAAGAGGATGCCGTGAAGCTGCAAGTCCTTAACATGGCCGTCAAATTGTATCTCACCAATCCGCAACAGACCTCGTTGTTGTGTCAATACGTCTTCACCCTGGCACGTTATGATGTTAACTATGATATACGTGATCGTGCACGTTTCCTGAAGCAATTCATTTTCCCGGTGAACAGTAAGAGTGGTGTCCTCTCCGAGGCAGCCAAAAAGATATTTTTATCTGCCAAACCTGCACCCACATTGGAGAGTAAATATCATGCACGCAATAACTATCAATTGGGTTCATTGTCCCATTACTTGAATATGCGCTGTACGGGCTATAATGATTTGCCCAGTTTCCCAGCCGAGGGATCAGATCCCACGGTGCGCAATGTTGAAGGTTTTATGCATGAACCGAAATTTGCTAATAACCACAAACAGGAAAGGACACCATTGAAGGACAATAACAATAGCAGCAAGCAGGCAAAAACTAAAAATGCCGCATTTTATTCGGAATCGGAGGGAAAATCTTCGGAATATTCCAATAATTCAAGTGGTTCGTCTACATCGTCATCATCTTCTTCGGAGGGTAGTGGTTCATCGTCATCATCTTCTGGCTCGGAAACAGAGTCCGATAATGAAAATGCCAACAAACAACAACAACAAAAATCAACTACACCAAGTTCCACGAACACAAAACAAGCACAAGTTAATGCTTTGAATAATAATGCCACGAAGAAAATAAATCGTGGTCCAGCAACTGCTTCTGTCTCCTCGGGAAATCAAGTAGTAAATAATGCCAATGGTTCGGGTACCTCAGATTCGGAATCCTCTTCATCTTATGGCTCTTCATCAGGTTCCTCCTCCTCATCGGAATCGGCTAGTGAAAGTGAGGGTTCGGACACGGAATCAGATTCCGGACAACATTCCATTGCCAAGAAGCATAATAATAACAACAAAAGCAGCAATCATGCCTCGGGCAGTGAGCAAAAGAAAACTGAGGCCAAAAGTAATTTGGATTTGTTATTGGATTTAGATGATATACCACCCATTGGACCGGTAATGACACCCTCATTGGGGGGATTTTTGACACCAGGTATGTAAAGATTTTTTTTTTAATTTTGGTAATACAAATTTTAATAACCTGCCGTTTAGGTACCCCCATGACTTCTTTGCAAACAACTTTGTTACCCCAAAATGCTGCCAATCGTTTGGAGTTGGTAGGCCCCTCCTACATTGCCTACAATCACAAGGAATTGTTGAACAAACTATCCGGCCATGGCCTACAAGTGAGCTATCGTTATACCCGATCACCACATCTCTATTCCTCTTCAATGGTCTCGATTGAGTTGCAGTTTGTTAATCAATCTTCTGAGGAAATCTGCAATATACAAATGGGACAAAAATCCCTACCACCTGGTATGCAAATGCAAGAATTTGCCCCCATCAACCAGCTGCAACCGGGACAATGTGCAACAAGTATTTTGGGTGTCGACTTCAATGATTCTACACATGCAATTGATTTTGAAATTACCTCAGATAAGGGTACATCGCGCGTGGCCCTGAAACCCATCATAGGGGAATTGATAAGATCTGTGCAAATTTCCGACACCATGTTCAAGGAGGAACGCCTTAAACTTCGTGGCATGAATGAACATCAGACGAAATTGAAATTCAATCAGGATGCAATTAAATTGGCCACCCTTAAACAGAAAATATTTGAATGCATTAATGTGGCCTATTTGTCGGCGAGGACAGAGGAAAATCCTGCTCTACACTATTTTGTGGGCCAGACAATGACCTCAAAGAGTTTGGTTTTGTTAACTTGTGATTGGTCCAACAATGAGGAGCTTCTAATACAAGTCAATTGCGAGAAAATGGTTATTGGTTCAATGGTTTTAAATGAGCTTACAAATTATTTGAATTCTAGTTTGAAAAATTGAAAAAAAAAATACTACAACAACAACAATGAACAAAATTTAGTATTAAGTTAATGTGCGAGTGTTTTTCTTTTTTTTATTTTTCTGTAATTGTTGTTTCTTCTAAACTCAAATGTGTGGTCTTAAATGTATAAAAAAAAAAGAAAATCAATAATGAGATTTATTTCCAAAATAACAAAAAAATGAGGAATTTTAAGTAGCTATTCACACAATTTTTGGCCTGTTAACCAACAAAACAAAGCTAAGCATCTCCTTTTTAAATGAACAAAATAATTAAGCAAATTTAAATAAACCAATAAATTGATGTCCATAAAACAATACTTAACAAAAATTTACTTTATTCAGCTAAAAATTAAAAAAAAATAAATAAATAAAAATAAAAAATGCCAGAAAAATATAAAATTAAAAAAAAAATAATAAATAAATAAACAATATAAAAAATTAAAAATATAAAAAGATAAATAAAATTAAAAAATTATAATATTTAATAAATACAACATTTCAGAAATATATGAATATAAAATTAAAAAATATAAATTATGAATGAAAATGTAAAAAAAAATATATATAAAGTGTTAAAAATATAAAAAATTTGCAAAAACAATTTAAATAAATTATAAAATATAAAAAAATGTGAAATATAAAAAATAACAAAATTTAAATTAAAACCAAAAAAATTAAAATTTCAAATAATAAAAATTATATATAAAATGAAAATATATTATTAACAAAAATATAAAAATGTATAATGACTGTATTTATGATGATGAAAAAAAAACAACAACAACAATTCTACAAGAAATTGCATAAATTAAGTTTCCTTATTCTCGATACACCCTATTAACTTCTAGTTGTTAAGAGAGACCCCCAAATAACAATAATATTAACTATAAACTTTTTATTATTTTTGCTGATTCGAAAAAAAACTGCGCTTTTCTATACACAAACCTATATTTATATATACATAATACGTAAATATTAACTTTATATATAAAAAACAAGAAATTTAAGGTTTCTTCTCAGCTATCCTTTTTTTGTGTATTTTCCAAAATGCCTAAAAAACTGCTTGTGAACAAAAAAAAAATAAATTATCTTTCCAATGAAAACAATGCCACTCACTTTTTGGTAATATTTGTATCAAAACCGCAAGTATTTTGTCCATATAAATTCACTTGAACATATGCTGGCGTTTAAAATTACCCACCAGTTGCAAAGAGGGGACAAAATGACATCATTCAAGTTACTAGGTTACCGCCATAATTGTGAAATTATTGCATGGACGTAACGTAACGCAGACGTAACGGAGACGTATGTGACATCTGTGATAATGCAAACAATTCATGCACAGAGAGAATGTTATATGAAGAAAATAAATAAAATAACAACAAATAACGTTATTCCCTTCTCTCTCTCTCTTTCCCACACTCTCTTTCTATCCACATTTCTTCTCTTCCTCTTTAAAACACCAACAAAATCCCCCCTTTGTTACAGCAGTAACTCAGTCACTGCAATAACGGCCTTTGGCATCAGCTGTTTACCGTACGTTACGTCTCGACTAACTCATCACATTTGTTTATTCTCTCACAATGATGACAGTTGCTGCCCCAATGAAGTGAAAAAGACTTCTATAGAGCAGAGAAAAATAAGTTTTTTATTAAAAAAGGAATAAATTAATTAAAATAAACAAGAAGCTACACTTTGCCGCAGTGGTAGCTCCAGAATCATCAATAAATAACAACAAACAATATGCATTAGAAATCTAATTAGAATCTGGAGCAGCAGCAAATAGCAGCAACAACAACAGTCTAACATACGTGGATGGCAGAGTGGTGAAGAAGAAATATCAAAGCAGCGCTAGCTAATCATTTGTTTTTTCTTCGTTTGGATAAGGTGTCATATAATTTAAAGTGAAAACAACGATAACAACAACAATAGCAATAACAACAATACAATTTGGTGGGAGATGAGTAATAATAACTCCGCTGGAAATGGTAACAATCGTCGATCCCAACAAGTGGATTGGAATCGTTTTGGTTTAAGTCCGGACGATGATGGTGAAGTGGTGGTGGCGAACTTTCGCCAAAGGGCCGCCAATACGGGAGGATTTGTGGATTTGGGTAATGAACACACATATGCCTCGGGAGGCCATCAGGCCTCTGGGGCCAATGAGATATTTGCCCAGGTGCAGGGTGATAAGCCATGGTAAGCAAGACATACAAATCGAAATTCATTTTTTATTTCTTAAAAACTCCATTTTCTTCCTTAGGTGGCGTTCCAATTTCTTTATATCCCAACCGGTGTTATTTGGCACCTGGGATGGTGTCTTCACCTCCTGTTTGATTAATGTCTTTGGTGTCATTGTATTCCTGCGTTCCGGCTGGATTGTGGCCCAGGCGGGTATTTTAAATGCCCTCTTGATTATATTTTGTACTGTGGTAATTGCCTTGGTATCAGTGCTCTCGGCCGTGGGAATTTGTGAAAGATGTCGTGTGGAAAGTGGCGGTGTTTATTTCCTAATAGCCCATACATTGGGTTCACGATTTGGTGGTTCATTGGGTCTGCTATATTGTTTCGGGCAGGCTGTTGGCTGTGCCCTTAATGTCATGGGTTTTGGTGAATCTATGGCAGGATTGGTTGGCCTTGAGGGCAATAAATGGGCCATTCGTGGCTTTGCTGCCGCTGCTGTTATTCTGCTGGGATGCATCAATGTGGCTGGGGTTAAATGGGTCATCAAGCTGCAATTTATATTGTTGATGATTCTATTGATTTCCGCCTTGGATTTCATGGTGGGCAGTTTTATTGGAGAGGATCCGCGTAAGTATCTTAAAAAAATATGCTTTTTTTCTCATTTAACTAATTTTTATTTTTTTAATAGAAAATGGTTTCGATGGCTGGGTCAGCAGCAACTTTGTTGAGAATCTTTGGCCGAAGTATGAGGATGGCTATTCATGGTTTAGAGTATTTGGTGTATTCTTCCCCACGGTTACTGGTGTTTTGTCGGGTATAAATATGAGCGGTGATTTGAGAGCACCCTCCACGGACATACCAAATGGTACCTTGGCGGCTTTTGGTACTTCGTAAGTTGATATTTTAAATTTTTTTTTTAAATATCTAATAAAAAAACGTCCTTTTTAGCACCTTCCTCTACACCGTGTTCATATTATTCCTTGGAGCCACCTGCCAGCGTGCAACTTTGCTAACAGATTTCATGATTTCCGTTAAGGTATCGGCAGTGCAATTTCTATTATTGGCTGGTATTTATGTTTCCAGTATGTCCTCGTGTTTGGGTGCCATGTATGGTACACCTCGAGTCCTGCAATCCATTGCCAAGGAGAGTGTTATCCCCGGCATTGATATTTTGGCAAAGGGGGTGAGGATTTTTTTGAGGTCATTTTTTTGAAGATTTTTTCTAATATTTTTTTTATTTAATAGCGTGGTCCCAACAAGGTCCCCCTCTATGCCATGGGTGTTGTGGCCGTGGTCACGGTTTCCTTTATTATTGTGGGTGACATTAATTTCTTGGCACCCATTGTGACAATGCCCTTCCTGCTTACCTATGCCTGTATTGATTATTCATATTTCGCCTTGGCTCAAACCTTCGATATACAAGAACAACGAGAGGAACGTTTTCGTATACAGGCCTCATCGCCTTCATATGAAACGAGGCGTTATGGGGCCACTCAAGATGATAATGATTTAGATTTATTATTCCCTGATCGGGTGCGTCATAAAAATCTACAAAGTCCACAAAATTCACCGCTACATGTGCCTTCAACAACGAATAATAGTAATAATTTAGAAATGCAACAACAACAACACCAACTAAATGGTGGTCTAAATAATGTGGATGCCGCCTCAACATCGGCCTCAACACCCGTTTTCCAAGAGGCCATAAATAGTACAAATGCCGATGGTAATCTAGAGGCTGTCACCACTCTGGACAATGAAGATGAGGAGCCAATTGCACCGATTAGACCGCCCATCCATTCGAAAACAAAAAATTGGTATTCGGGTTATTGTAATCGTTGGGCTTCGCTGTTGGGGGTAAGTGGGAAAGGGAGGAAGGAATGTGTTTGAAAAAAGGAAATTTAAATTTTTGTTTTTCTTTCTTCTTCAGGCCTTTACCAAGTTGTTAGTCATGTTGCTGGTTAACTGGTATTATGCCTTGACCTGTTTCCTGGTGGTCTTTGTGGTTTGGTTTTATGTGGGCACAGCCAATCCGGCCGTAAAACCTGGTCTAACGGCTGAATTCAATTTCTTTGCCTGGTTGAAAAGTGTTATATTCCGATGCTTTGGGTAAGGGGGGATATTTTTATAATTTTTTTTTATATAATTTTAAAAAAATGTTAAATTTTTTGTTTTGAAATTTTTTATAAAATTTATATTTTGTTATTCCCAGCAAACGCATGCATGAATATGAACAAATTGTGGTTACACCCTCCTGCCCCGGGGTGGATCTATCACCCACCCAAATGAACGAGGACAATGAAGACTTTTCCCAGAGGCGAAGATATCATCAATCGTCGTTAATCGAAGGCCACCTAGTTAATGATATATAAATAGAATAATAAAAATCAAGAAGAAGAAGACAAGCTAAATATCCAGCCATTGTTACAGGACCAAAATTTCTATGAAAAAAAGACTACCATAAAAAATGAAAAAGGGAATGGTAGTTTTTTTGGAAATGGTTGATACAAGCAATATTTAAAAACAACAGCAACAAAATATTTACACAACAAAACATGTATTCGACACAACAAACATAAGCTCAACAAGAATAAGATTTTGAAGAAATTTTTACAAAAAAAAAAAGAAAAACAAAAACCTACAACCAACCTCCCCAGCCTATATATATTTCCTAAGACCTTTATATATATTTATAAATATTAATAACTCTCACACTCTCTTTAAAAAAAGGCATTTAATTTTGTTAGTGTTTGGTTCCTTAACTTATAAACAAAATATTTAAATGTGTAAGTCCACTTAATTGTCATATCTATATAT